GAGCAGGGAGCCCGATGCGGGACTCGATCCAGGGACTCCAGGATCATGACCTGAGCCGAAGGCAGTCACTTAACCAACTGAGCCACCCAGGCACCCAAAATGGATGTACTTTTAAAGGAAAAATAATCAGAAGTTGAACATTTGCATGTATTTTGAAATTTTGAAGTTATATCCCAAAACATTGAAGTTTTGCATTATAAAGGTTCTGAATGTAAGGGAGAAGCTAGAGAAGGTTTAATTATTTCAAGTGATTGGTTCACAAATGCTATATTGCTTGGGTTTCTTTCTCTGCTAAGAAAGGCCAGTACAGCGCAAAACATGTGCTTCATTTTGAAATGTTTTCTAAGCAATGATTATTAATAAATATTCTAGATGTGCTAAGAGAAATGATTGACCTTTCTGTTTGTATCCAGCAGTGAACAGGAGCATATATTTGCAGTGACTGGCTGGGATTGATGATACATTTTATTACTGTGTTAGAGTTTTCCTGTGTGCTAAATAAGAGCCTTTTTAAATAAGAGTTGATACCTGGGTAGCTAGGAGAACATCTCTGTTAAGTGGTGCACACAGCATAGGTATGTTTGTGCCAAGTGCCATGTTTGAGCTGACCTAACATGAGCAAATCCTACAATGACATGTGATTGCCAAGGATTTGGGAGGTTTAGAGTCGAGCTAGAGCATAGAGCATTTCCCCTGGCCCCGGGAGATGGAGCCCAGACCCTACATTTTCTTGATTTTTCCCATTTTCAGCCTTTACTCTACACTTAGCTGATGAAGCGGCAGATGGTCTGGGTTCTAATTTCATTATGTTGAATAGGTTGAGCCAACTACTCCTATGAAATAACTGTATAAGTGAAAAAATCAAATATCATTTTTTTGAATTGCAAGAAATGGCCATAAACCTTGTGTTTTACCTCTTAATAATCTATTTTTAATCTTAATGGAATTCTGATGGAATTGACCACTGGTTTTAGAAAGTTTGAAAACTTTAGTAACTTCAGTGGGTAAAAGAGTTCTTATATCTGTGATCTAATAGAGCTGTAGAATATAATACTAAAATGTAAGCTCCAAAAGGGAGAAACTTTGCCCTGTTGACTGTTCTCCCAGTATCTTGAATAGTGCCTGGCACATAGTAGGAGCTTATCTGCTCAGAATAGTCAAGTCTGTACGTGTTTGATAATTGTATTTAATAATTTTGTGCACTTCAATATTAACAGGAAATCATGACTCTCAAGACAAATGAGCTATTCCAGACAATGCAGAGAGCACAGGAGCTAGCACAGAGGCTGAAACAAGAACAGAGGATCCGAGAATTGGCTCAAAAGGGACATGACACTTCTGGATTGATTAAAAATCTTGGCGGTAAGCATTTCACTAGAATTTTACTTATAATATCTTTTGAAGAGATTTTAAATAACTGCCTATTTTTAATACCTTTAACACACCTATTGACTAAATATTGTTTAAGGAATTTCAGATCTTGAACTAAGGTAACTTTATAATGCTTATTTTATTTGGGAAATTGCCTTAAGAGTAGAACTAAATAATGTTACACTTTCCAGTAATCTTTTATGATGTAGGAAAGATGTTAGGGTTCGAAGCCGACAGCCAAGGAAGAATTCTTGGAGCTATCTTTGGTGCAAAAAGGTGGTTTTATGAAAGCACGGAGACAGGACCCCTGGGCAGAAAGAGCTGCACTAGGGTCATGAGGATTGGCCCATTACATACTTTCAAGTTGTGAGGGGTTAGGGATAGTGTAAGTTTCTAAGGAACTTGGAAGCAAGGTTTCCAGGACCTTGAGGGGGCTAGCTATTGTTGGGAAAAGGTCACTTATTATTGTCTAATAAAACCTTAGTCATGAGACCCTTCAGATATATATCAGTGGGTCTTATGATTGGGGAATGATTGCCAGCCTATATTTGGGGGCAGGCGAGTAGAGATAAAGGAAGTTTCCAGAGGAATTTTTTTATGTTAACGTAGACTTACAGGATCGTGGGGGTTGGGCTAAGATTGCCTTTTGCCCTTAGCAAAGTGTCAGCATCCAGGCATTTGAGTTCCTAGAGGAATGTCACTGCCTATTTCAAGGACTTGTCAATGGGCTGTGAGTAGTAAGGAAATTTAATAATTTTTTTCTGCCTTTGTTTCCAACATCATTTTACATAAATTTTCTTAATGTTTTGCTCACAGTAGGTAAAAGGTATACTTTTTTTACCCAATTTTTCTGGAGAAATCTATGAAGTGATCTCCCTATATTCAATAAGGGATAAAAATGCAGATCACTTTTTGTAAGAAAATTTAGGATAGCCCTTTTACATTTTTATTGCAGTGTTCACACTTACTAATTGCACTACAAATCTTGCGTGTATTTAGTTGCTGCTACACATACTTTCTGTTAATTTCCTGAACTGTCATTATGTTGGATAATATAGTTCTCTTGCCAGTTGATAAAAGTGGAATATAATGCATCTACTAACAACATTTCAAATTTAGGACATGGCTTGGATGATGTCAGTGGTAAAAAGAATACATGTATCAGTTCTACAACCTCTCCCAAAAAGGATACTGCTGTACAAACAGGTATTTGTTTAAAAGTTGTGATTTGGTTTAAAATTTACTTAAAATTAATGTCACAGTTAGAATTAAGCTCAATTTAGAATTGAGCTGTTTAAAAATGAAAAGAAATTCACCAAAGTTTTCAGTAAGGATTAGAAAATAAAGGGATTTCTTGATTTTTAATTTCTCTGTAACAGCTTTATTGAGGTTTAATTCACATAGCATAAAGTTATTAACCCTTTTAAAGGTTACAGTGAAGTGTTTTGGGTTTTTTTTCCTTCAAGTTTTTATTTAAATTCTAGTTAACATATATGGTGAAATTGTTTCAGATGTAGAATTTAGTGATTCATCACTTACATATAATACCCAGTGCACATCACAAGTGCCCTCCTAAATACCCATCACCCATTTAGCCCATTCCCCCACTCACCTCCCTCTATAACCCCTCAGTTTGTTCCTTTTTTTTTTTTTTTCCTTATTTATTTGAGAGGGGGAGAGCGAGAGAGAGAGCAGAAGCAGAAGGGAGGAGCAGAGGGAGAGGGAGAAGCAGACTCCCTGCTCAGCAGGGAGCCTGATGTCAGGCTTGATCCCAGGACCCTGAGATCATGACCTGAGCTGAAGGTAGACATTTAACCGACTGAGCCACCCAGGTGCCCCAATACCTTCTAGTTCTATCCACATCATTGCAAATGGCAAGATTTCATTCTTTTTGATGGCTGAGTAATATACCATCTTCTTTATCCATTCATCAGTTGATGGACATTTGGGCTCATTCCGTATTTTGGCTATTGTTGATAATACTGCTATAAGCATCGGGGTGCATGCACCCCTTTGAATCAGTAGTTTTGTGTCCTTTGGGTAAATACCTAGTAGTGCAGTTGCTTGGTCATAGGGTAGTTCTATTTTTAACTATTTGAGGGAACCCCCCCACCAACAGTTTTCCATAGTGGCTGCATCAGTTTGTATTCTCATCAACAGTGTAAGAGGGTTCCCCTTTCTCCACATATTTGCCAACATCTGTTGTTTGCTATTAATTTTAGCCATTTGGACAGGTTTGAGGTGGTATCTCATTATGGTTTTGATTTGTGTTTTCTTTTTTTTTTTTTTTAAAGATTTTATTTATTTATTTGAGAGAGAGTGAGAGAGAGAAAGAGCACAAGAGTGGGGAGCAGGAGAGGGAGAAGCAGACTCCCTGCCGAGCAGGGAGCCCGATGCGGGACTCGATCCCGGGACTCCAGGATCA